GTCCCGGAGCACCGGAGTCAGCCACAAGACCCATCCCAGACCTGCTTCCAGTCAGTGTGAGGAGGACACGGGACCCGGGGATGACCCCCCAGAACCCCCTGCCCGGCCTTCCTCAGAGGCAGCCTGGATCCAGGCCCACCACATGCAGCTGAGTAAGAAACAACGGCCTGGTGTTTCGGGGTCTCCCCCACAGTGGCACCAAGAGAGTCATGGGAGAAAATCAAGTCTGAAGACACAAGCTCAGTCTCCACCAAGCAGGTGGCATCGGAGGACAGGCTAGAGCGAAGGGTCTCTGAGAATAAATCACTCAGAGCACCCTACCCCAGCAACTGCCCCCTCCCCACCCCCACGCACCTGTGGTTCCTCAGCCTCCTGGATGGTTCCAGTGCCCTCCAGAGGGTGACATGGCCCAGGCTTGGGGGCATGCTGGAACGTAAATGGCAAAGGTCTGGCTTGAGGTGGGGGTCTGGATTTGGTTCTTTATTTACCAGGAGCGACTCAAGCAATGCCTGGGGGTGGGGGGGAGTTCACTTCTGGGGATACTCAGCCATCTGGACTGGTCTTGTGGTGCTGGGTGCCACCAGGACCCCATCAGGAGGTGGGGGCAGGGGGCATGAGACATGAGGATCAACTCAGGAGCCATGAGCATGCCAGGCATGTGACCCCTGACCCCTGGGCTATCTCTCCAGATCCTGATTGGTCGGTTGGCTGGTTGGTTGGTTGGTTGGTTGGTTGATTGGTTTTTGATGTCAAAATCAAGCGTGACTTCAACCTCTCAGAAATCCACACCTAAACTGGGCCAGAACACAGCTGCCAGCAGATTAGCACAGCACACGCTCCCGGCTACAGTCCTCCTCGTCCAACGCCCTGGCGGAGCTTCTCCCAAGAGATAAGCCAATACACACACTGTGGGGGGCCCGGGGGGCCCTCCTGGAAAGGCCCTGGAGGTGCAGTAAGACAGACCAAATCTGTTTTCCAGGGGCTGGAAAACACAGGTTCACCCTACCTGGGCCAGGCCGGCTCCAGGGATGGACAAACTGGATCCACTGACTATTGGCCCTTCATCCCTCAGGGTTCAAATGGTATTTCTGGCAGCCGGACTGCTCCGCTCTGCTCCCAGAGGTGGCTCTCCCCCCTCACAGGAAGGACGGCCTCGGACGAGGTGAGACCTCAGGAGCCTTCCCAGCTCCTCCAAGGTCCTCGCCCCCAGGTCCTCCAGCTGCAGCCCCAGGGCTGTGGAAGGACAGACGAGACTGGCAGGGGTTCAGGCTCAAAAAAAGGTGCCGGTGGGCTGGAGCGACAGCACAGTGGGTAGGGCATTTGCCTTGCATGCAGCCAACATGGCCGACACAGGTTCGATTCCCAGCATCCCATATGGTCCCCCCAGCACCGCCAGGAGCAATTCCCGAGTGCATGAGCCAGGAGTAACCCCTGAGCATCACCGGGTGTGACCCAAAAAGCGAAAAAAAAAAAGGTGCCGGCCCTGTGCAGATCTAAGCCAGGACTCTGAGAGGGTCTGGGCGTATTTCAAAGGCCACAGAATGGTGAAAACCCACAGGAGCAAGAGGTGGGGGTAGTGTGTCCAGAGTGGAGCCCACAGCAGGCCCTGACTCCCATCCTTGGCATTGCGTGGTCCCCCAAGCACCAGTTGAAGTAGCTTAAAGGCTCAGGACAGCACAGAACCCCGAGCTATGGAGCTGACACTCCCTGGGCGTGGCCCGAACTCCCGAGGCCCCCTGGGTGTGGTGGCAAAATCAAAAAGCAAAACCAGAAAGAAAACCTATGTTTAGAAATGAGAATGAACTGGAATGATAGCACAGAGGGTAGGGCATTTGCCTTGCATGTGGTTGACCGGGTTTCAATTCCTCCGTCCCTCTCAGAGAGCCCGGCAAGATATCGAGAGTATCCCGCCCACACAGCAAAGCCCGGCAAGCTCCCCATGGCGTTCGATATGCCAAACACAGTAATAAGTCTCACAATGGAGACGTTACTGCTGCCCACTCAAGCAAATCGATGAACAAAAGGACAGCAGTGCTACAGAGATGAGAATGGTGGGCTATGGGTGAGAGGTAGGGGGCTTTCAGCTCCCCTTCCCTGGGGGCTGCCTCGGAGATCCCATGGGGTCTCAGATCCTCCCTCGGCAGGGCATCCCCTTCTGCCGGTCAGGGCCCCCCTCCTGGTGCAGCTCAGTGTCTGAGCCAGGGCGAGGGTGGGGGCACAAGGGAGGGCTGAGAGGGTCAGGGAGCACACAGAAAGCATGACAGCTGCCCAGAGAAGGGTGGGGTGCAAGCTGAGCCTGGCAAGGTGTAAGGGTACCCTCTTGTCATGCCAGGCACTGGGTTATCTGCCCACGCTGCCCACCAGCTTCCGCACAGGCTCTCTCCTGGCTAGGCCTGTTTCCGATCAGTGTGTCGAGGGAGACATTCCCCACAGCAGGTCAGCACCACCAGGGCAAGCTCGGGTCAGAGGGGCCCAGCAGCCTGCACCATGCTGGCCGTTCCCCGGGGACCCAGAACCTTCTCCCTGCACACATGTCAGGGGACCAGCAATCTCCTGCATGTGGGAGTCTCAAGGCAGCGGGGGGCCGAGTCTCTCCCTCCCCGCAGCTCCCTGTGTGCCCTGGGGTCTGGAGAGCTCAGTCCCCTGCCACTCAGACTCCAGTGTGCTCCCCCTCCAAGGCTCCCCCACCCAGGAGGTCTCCTCCCAGGGGGTAGGCCAGAGCTGAGCTCCCCTGCCTCCAGGCAGGACAGGAAGATGTGAAAGGGACCGAGTCTGTGGGCCGTTCTCCAGCTCAGGGCCTGGACCATATAAGTCTCTCCTCCGCACAGCAACCACGAAGCAAGAAAGCCGGCAAAAGGCAAAAGTTAAAATTAACCGACTTCAGCACAGGGTGAATCGTCAGCCCCGTGTTGCGCAAAGCCCTATTTCTGTAGAGCCAGGAAACAGAAACAACTGATTCCACATTCCAGGCCAGCTCTGTCCAGCAAGCATTGTTCCTCCAAAGGGCAGTCAGAGCTCCTTTTCAATTACACAAATTACATGCATTTTCCCATTTGCAGAACTCCGCTGCGGAGTCCGGTTTTGAATAAGTTAAGGGTTTCATCACATCCCCCGGGCACAGCCACCCAGCCCTATCTCTGCACACCAGCCCAGCACGCCCAAATGGGGAGGGTCTGGGGAGCTCCCCGGGGGCTCATAACAAATGGGACAACCCTCAACCCCCACCTCCCCGTGCAGGAATAGTGGGGAGAGAAACTCACCTGCAGAGCTGTTCTCTCTCGGGGTCCAGATCTCGGTTACAGACCCCCAGCGCCCCTGTTCTCCCAGCTGAGGGAACTCAGCGAGGCTCATCCCAGCTTCTGTGTCCCTCATGCCAGGCACCACTCCCTTCCCAGGCCCTGGTACTGGCCCTCTGTGCCCAGCTGAGGCCTGAATCAAACCAAAGACCTGATGGCAGATGTCTCAGGCAGCTGTGGACCAATTATACCTCCAAGTACACCCAAGGCCACTAGAGCCTCCTGGGGTGGGGGTCGGGGTATTACTCATCTGAAGAAATACTGGCCTAGGGCTGTGGGTCCTTGGGCAAGTGACTCAGTCCTGGGTGCCTCTTTCTTTATCTATAAAATGGAAATAGCAGCACCTATAACATCATCAAAAGGTGATCGGGACTAAATGAATTATTGCATCCATGAATGACCCATAACAGTATCTGGAAAGCAGTAAGCCCGATGTACATGTATACACACACTTTTATACATAGTAAACACATTAGTACGCATATTAAACACAGTTTCACTTTTAGCACTACTACTTATTTACTCGCTTACGGCAAGTCTCTGTCCGTGAATGTGAGCTCCACAGGGTAGTGTCCACGTCTGTCCTGCTCAGCCCCAACATCCCCAGTATCAGCACAAACTCTGGGCACACAGTAGCCTGCCCATTATACTTGCTAAATGGATGGCTGGGTGAGGGATGATGGGTGGGGAATGGATAGGTGATGGAGGAGGAATGGATGATGCTGGTGCATAGGTTGGTGGTGGATGGGCAATGGATGAATAGGTGATAAAATGGGTGGGTAACACATGGATGAGTGGATGGACAGATGGTGGCTGTATGGACGGATGATAGATGGATAGATGAGGGGAGAGTGATGGGTGAGTGATGGTTGGATAGTTGATGGATGAGTGGATGAGAGAATGATGGTGAGTAATGGATAGATGACAGTGGGTAACTCAAGGAAGGGAGGAGGAAGGGAGAGAGGGAGGGAGGAAAGGAAGGAAGGGGGAGGGAGAGAGGCAAGGAGGGAAGGAGGGAAGTAAGAAGAAAGGAAGGAGGAAGGGAGGGAGGGAGGGAAGGAAGGAAGGAAGGAAGGAAGGAAGGAAGGAAGGAAGGAAGGAAGGAAGGAGTGGACATGGGTGACAACCTCTTCCTGGTGGTCATAGCATTCTATACTAGTGAGCATCACCTGTAACCGAACATATCTGCTCTGAGAAATTAACTGGCCCAGCAGTCCCAGCCCCAGGAAAAGCCTGATCTAGGAGAAAGTCAGAAGTACTGTGGACAGAGGATTTTAGCGGGGGAGGAACACTTGGTAGGGCACAGTGAGAGCAGGGCTAAGTGCAGGTGCATGTGGGGGACAGAGCTGGGCTCTCGGCATGGAGCTATGGCTGGGGTGAATGGCAGTGGCTGGGGTGGCCCTGAACAGGCAGGCTGGGGGGACATCAGTGGTATTGAAAGTCAGGTGAGGGAGTGTGTTTCATTTCAGACACACAGCAGAGGTGTTGAGATGTCTCTTGGTGTTCCACTGAAGGGACAGTGCCAGGATGCATCCAAGAGCCAGACCAGATAGTGGGGGCAGGGAGGAGCAGAAAATGAGGCTAGAAACATCCAGAAAAGAGGTGGGGAAGGCCTGGGCCAGGCAGCTGGGGGAGGAGCCCTTCCAGAAAGGACACAGTAGCCAGTTACGGGCAGTGCCTGACCAAAGGCAACTCGGAACTTACCTGCACCAGATTCCAGCCTTGGAGGGACTCGGCGATGATGGACGTGACGGACGGACAGACGCCCCCAAACACCATCAGGTGGTTCGGTCCATATTTTATTGCATCGTAGAAGGCTTTCAACCCTTTCGCATTATCACACTGCAAGCAACACACAGAAAAAAAGGGTCCGGATTAGAAACAGCTGTTCTCAGGCACAAGTCCCGTCCGTAGATTCACACCCACAGAACCTCCTCTTGAGAACCTATCTGGGTGGCCATTATTCCACGAGGCGGCCCTGAACCAGCTCCAGCGCATGCCGCCAGCTCACAGATGTGACTGTGGCATCTTGCGTCCTGCTTCTCTTGCCCTCTTGGCTCCCTAAATCTAGGGTTCTGTGTCCCCAGGGAGGGGGGGTCCCTGCAGAGCACACTCAGGAAAGAGTCCTCGAATACCCCTAGCACAGAGCCAACCCCTTCCGTGACCAAAGATGTTTAAAAAGGTGAGTTTAGACACACAACATGGAACCACACAAAGCAGAAAAATGCTAAACAGAGGGAAAAAATCCACGTACGATGACAAATTGTAGCACAAAATATTTCAAGAGGGTGAAACGCTGGCGTTCTGAATGTGCGGTACATTGTCCTGAGAGGGAGGCCAGGAAGCCCATGCAGGCCTCGCATGCAGCCAAGCCGGGCTGGATCCCGGGCACCATGTGGCACCATTGGCAGCACCATGTCCTCAGGGCCTTGCATTGAACCACTGGACCGGTTGGTTCCCAGGAGGGACCAGGAGGGACTCTGGTCCCTGGGTCAGTGTTATTTTGACAGGCTGGGTGCACGGAATCTGTGAGAGAGCTGGCTGTGGCGGTCCGCCCACCCCTAGGGAAGGAGGGAAGCCCCTAGAGGGAGGTGAAGATGTGGAGCCGCAAGAACCGATAAGACAAAGACAAGACACATGCTCCAGAAGCCTCTGCAGGGAGAAGACTCACTTCATGGCAATCATGCTTAGGTTCGGATTCCTTAAGCGAAGGGGATCCATGGATGAACACCTTGGGTGGGGGTGGGGGTGGATTTCCCGCACCAGCAAACAAGCAGTCAAACGGGGTGTTCTGGCTCCTCACTCTCCCCAGCTGGCCGGCAGTTAGCTTGTTCAGTGGTCCCTGACGTATTGTTTCAGACACAGTGACCAGACACTGTGTCCGGCCAACCGAGGAGGGAGGGAGGAATCGCTGCTGGGAAGCCAAGGGGACTCTGCCAGGGAACGAGCCACCTACTGCTCATCCCCTTGGGCCAAGTCTCAGGGGCTCACCCTCGACCCCAGCTGTTCCCTCAATTGACCCCACAGAGCAGGAGGAACCCCCACATCTCCCAAGCACCACTCGGGAACCCGCCTTCAAAAACTTAAAGAGAATTAGCACAGGATCCAAGCCCCAAAGAATGGAAAGGGGTGCCCGAAGCGTACCCTAAGAGGGCCCTAAGCATGCCCTAAGCATGCCCTAAGCGTTTCATAAGTGTGCTCTAAGCAGGTCCCAAGTGTGCTCTAAGCATGCCCTAAGCATGCCCTAAGTGTGCCCTTAACAGGCCCTATGCATGCCCTACGCATGCCCTAAGCGTGCCCAAAGCGTGCCCTAAGCGTGCCCTAAGTGTGCCCTAACCAGTCACCTGATGCTCACACCATGTTCCTGGTTGCATCAGAGCCCACAGGTGAAACAGCCCAGACATCCATCAACTGTCCGCTGACTAAGTGAATGGGGTTGTATGTTGCTTGTACGGACACAGAATGTTCCTTAGCCATCAAAGCCATCAAGAGGAAGGAAACTCCAGCCCCGGCTGGGCATGGAAGAGTGCAGAGAATATGACGTGCAGCGGCTGAAGCCAAACACGAGAGGACGAATCCTGGGGGCCTCCCCTCACGTGGTCATCAAACTCATCTGCCCAGAAGCAGAACTTCTGGGCACCGGGGGGTCAGGAGCTACTATTACAGGGAACCTATGGTGTCAGTTTGGGGTGGTGAAAACCACCCGATGGGGATGGGTGATGGTAGCACCTCGGGTGAATGTACCTGACTCTGAATCTGCAGGCTTAAAATAGTCTATTTAAGTTCTGTGTATTTTATCACCATGAAGTGGGGGGGGGAGGGCAGTGGGGCAAGGAGAGGGGGATGGAGGACGAAAGGAGGGGGGAGAGAGGAGGAGGCAAGGAGGAATGGAGAAGAGGAAGGAGAAGGGGGAGGGAAGGGGGTGGAGGTGGGGAAGAGGAAAGGAGGGAAAAGGGAGGAGGAGAGAGGAGGAAAGGGGAGGAAGAAATGGGAGGAGAAAGGGGAAGGAAGAGGTGCAGGCGGGGGAGAAGGAGGAACATGTCAAAGGAAGCATCGATTCATCAGCCGGACCAGGATGGGGTCTGTGTTCGGCCCAGGTTGGGTGCTGAGGCAACGAGAGAGGAAGCAGGAGCATCCCAGGAGCTAGAGACCCACAGAAGGCAGGCCCCTACCACCTCCCCACGATGCCCCCGCAGGGATGGCGGAGGACAGATGCAGAGGACAGTGGGAGGCAGTTTGGGGCCCCCTCCCTGCCTACCTCAGTCTCTCACCCAGCCCCACCTTCTCCGCCTCCAACAGGGTGAGTGGGAACAGCCAGAGACCTCCTCCCGCTGCGGCTCTCTGTGACCCAGATCCCCAACTTCCACCAAACCATTGTTCTCGGGACCTTGTTCAAGTGTGGCTTTCCTGGCAGAGGCGACACCTGGGACCATTCCCTCCGATTCTTGGCCAATCTGTTAGCTGAGCCAGGCTGGAGGATGTGATGGTCATGGGGCTCAGGGGACGGATTTGGGACCACTAGGGCCCCCCGGGAGTACTCTGGAGGCCTCCAGGGCTACACCTGGCAATGCTTAGAACATCCTGCAATGCCAGGGCTCAAACCTGAGATCCAAGGCAAGACCCTAACCCCAGAACAAAATCCCTGGTCCTCCGAGGATTTTTGAGGGGGCAGCACCCTGCAGTGCTCAGGGACTGTACCCAGTTCTGTGCTTGGGCTTGCACCCAGCACTGCTTGGCAGGGATGGGAGGTGCCAGGGATGTAACCCAAGACCCCAGGAATCTCATGGGCAAAGTCTGCACACAGCCCACTCCTGCCTACCTTTACCTTACCCTCCTCCCAACACACACCATTTTCGTTTCGCCCATTAATAACAGATGATGGAGCAGATTCAAAGGATAATTTGACAGAAGGGTTCTTAGGAGTAAATGCAAAGATAAGAAGATTGTGAAATTAGTTACAAAATGGGCTAATGTCCGGCAGGCAATAAAACTGTTGACAGCCCGGGGAGACAGAGACAATCATGAATAGTCAGTTCAACTGACCCATTTGGGGGAAGCTTCCTGGGTCCTAAATCCCTGTAGCCGGGCATCCCCTAGCCAGTGGGGTTGGAAACGCTCCCAGTGGTAAGCTACAGACAAGAACTACTCTAGGTATAAAACTCTCAACCCTCCTTATCAGCTGCACAGGAGAAGCCTGGGGAGAGGGTCCGGCCTCTACTCTAACCCATTCCTCACCTCTCTTCCCCTTGCCCTCAAGCTCATGCTCATCAGCCTCCTTATTGTCAGGGAAATCCTGACCTAATTCCTGCTGCTGCCCCTCGGCCTTTGCACTTGCTTTGCAGTAGGAATGAGACTTCTCCGCATTCAGCAGGGTTGCTACCCCTCAGGGCTCCACACCTCACCTCCACGGTCCCTCCCTGTGCCCAGACAGACTCCCTAAGAGGATCAGAGACAGTCTTGTCTGTTTTCCCTCTGTGCGTTGACGGGTCTCTCAACTAGACTGTCCTCACCTTCTGCCCCATCCATCTAGGAGCAGAGATTTTTAATCACGATTCCCCCATCCCCCTCCACTAGGCACTCAGGAAGTCAGTAGGGGTCCTGCCCAAGGGGTCTGTACCCACTTTCTCATTCTGCTCCCTCACCTCTCTCCTTAGCCCTGTCTTCCTCTCGGTCCTCCACCTCTGTCCCTTCCCCCGGCAACCCCTTCCCTCTATGGGACCAGAACATAGGAGCCGAGTGGCTCGGGCTGTGTGCTCTGATCTTTGATGGCAAAGATGCTGTACTTGCACCCACAGGCGAAATTGATCGGGACACACAGATGAGCACCCCCATAGGTCCTGGCCTCCAGGAGCTCATGTCCAGCAAAGGCCAAGACACAGGGCCATGGGAACTCAGGGGGGAGAACCAGGGAGGACTTAGTGGTGTGCAGAGGGGCAGGTGCTAGAGACTGGGCAAGGAGGTCAAAGCAGCCCCTGTCGAGCTGGGGGTGGGCAGAGCTGAGCACCAAGCTCCAGAGCCCGATTGGACCCTGCAGTGCCGAGGGTAGGAACTGCATTTGCTGTGAGGTTGTTGCTGATACTTGGTTGCTGCGGTCGTGCTGGTGGTGGTGGTGGTGGTGGTGGTGGTACTCAAGGGCCAGAGCCTTCACTCAGTGGTGCTCAGGGTGAAATGCTGTGGATCAAACCTAGGGCATCACACATGTGTTCTACCATGTAAGCCATCTCCCTCACCCTCAAGAATTTTATTAAAAACATTTTTTTGAGAGATAGTACAGTGAATAGGGCATTCATCTTGCATGTGGCTGACCCAGGTTTGATCCCCAGCATCCCATATGGTCCCAGAGCACTGCCAACAGTAATTCCTAAGTGCAGAGCCAGGAGTAACTAACCTTTGAGCATCACTGGGTGTGACCCAAAAAGCCAAATTAGCACTGTCTGCAGCACTGTCCTCCCATTGTTCATCTATTTGCTTGAGCAGGCACCAGTAACGGTTGCTCCATTGTGAGATTTGTTACTATTTTTGGCATATCAAATATCAAATACCCCAGGGAGCTTGCCATGCTCTGCTGTGCGGGCAGGATACTCTTGGTAGCTTTCCAGGCTCTCTGAGAAGGATGGAGGAATTGAACCCGGTTCGGCCGTGTGCAAGGCAAATGCCCTACCCATTGTGCTATCACTCCAGCCCCAAAAAATCCAAAATATTTTTAAAAATTTATTTAGGAGCTGGAGTGATGGTACAGTGGGTAAAGCACTTGTCTTGCATGCAGCTAACCCAGGTTCAATCCCTGGCGCCCCATATGGTCCCTGGAGCACCTAGGAGTGATTTCTGAGCACCACCAAGTA